CACTTCGGTGTTTTTATTTTAAGGGTGTACTTTGTTGGGTTTTTTCATATGATCGGCTTAAGAGGACCTCTTGGCTGACGATCCTGGCAAAAAGAACACCTATTGATATATCTTAGGGGCCCTTATAATGTCCGTGTCCCGAGTTAATTTGCCAGTGAGAGCTCATTTACGCCACTCATTTGGAGTAATTTGGCAACATTCAACCTTTGCATGTGTACCGTATCTGATAACTGTGAAAGAGTTATTGTCTGGATTTCGAAGCATCGGTTTATTTTGACTTGCATTATAGGCCTTCCAGTATAATTAACATGCTCATATTCTTCAATACATTAATGAGAGACAGTAAAAAATACGTTTAATCAGTAGGATTTCGATGACGCGAATGCTATTGCTTTAAATCATCGTTCGACAGAGTGCTGAGATTTTCACGGGATTACAACATGCATCATCAGTATCAACGAAATAATCCTTTCCAATCTCGTCTTCTTCCTCCCTGTATATCTAGGCCCTAACGATGCGTCCTCTCTCGATCGTCGACGATGGGCTAGTGTTCACCGAACCTACTTTTGGTGACGCAGCCTAGAGAATTCAAATGCGATCAATTTTGATGAATTAACGAGGATGTGTGGAGCATGGAAGATACAGTTTCAAAGATTGTATATAATAGGGGACAGCCAAAATCCCAGTAACCATTAAAATGTTTGGAATCCTTCTGTTTCACCGATGACAAATAGCATTAGGCTAACCCAGACCTACTTTTATATTCAACATCGGTATGCGATGGCCCTCATGACGTTGAAAAGCAAACTTTGAAAGTGTTTTGAAATACAGTGGGCAATACACTTAAGGTCTATCACTAATATTTGAAAACAACAAATGGATCTTTTCCAAACTTCTTGGAAAGTTTCTATAGGCCACACTAGCACTATAAAATGGGTACTGTACTGAAGTCCGGTACTTTAGACCAAAATACGTAAATCTATGACGTCACATTAAATATAATATATTGAATATATAAGGTTGCAGTATCATTATTAAACCATTTCACCAGTTTTCTTTGCCATTAAAAAATAAGACGTGTAATTTGAGCTGGCGAGTGGTGTACAAAGGTTTCCTGTTATAAATCGTTAGTTTATTCCGGTACTTACTACCTTGATGATGATGATGATTAGGGCCTACCGTATTATTATTACATATAACCAATATTTATAGAGGGTGACCCTTCCAACATACATCCTAGATGGTCGGCTGATATTCAGGGCCCTCCTAAATATATGAAATAATGTGATGCTTTTATCATCGAAGTTGCTTTATGAGGCTTAGGGAGTGGAGTTGTTTTTATAACTGTGAATTGAACCCAGGACCATGGGATAAAAAGGCAAGTATCTCAACCACTAAGTTATTCAACTCCACACCGCATGATAATAAGGATGATGATGGTGATGATGATGATGATGATGATGAGGGGCGGACTAGGCCCAAGTTACCGGTCCAGCAACTAAGACTACCTTGGGCCGCGGGAAGCGCTCGTGTTTAGGCGCTATATTTATGGGGTTTAGAGACTATATTTCAAAAGCATGCCCTACTTATACTGATGCAATTTAATAATTGTTTTTGTAGAGTGATATTTATCATAATTATATGTTTCCCCTTCTATAAAAAGGCGCTATCCTTAAGGCGCATCAGTCCGCGACCGACTCAAAGGTCAACCCACCACTGAAGATAATGATGAGGATGATAATAATGATGTTGAAGATGATCATTGTGATAATTTATCAATACGCGATGATTAAAATTATTTTAATGATTACAAGGCTGGTGAGGAAAATAGTAACAGTGATGGTATTTGCGATCGTACAGCAGTGGTGTTGCTGATAAACGAACATGTAAGACTGGCAGTAAAAAAACTGTCCACTACTTTTCATCGAATATAAATAATAACAATGATTATGACGTTGTTGACAGAATAAATTGTACTTTTCAACGAGATAATAACTCACACAATAGTTGTATTTCTTCCCCCTACTGATACAAATCTTTTCACGGACTGTATAATAAAAAGCAGGTCGTTTTCGTCATCGCTGTGTGGAGGACAGGAGAAAAACGATTTTTTTTATAACAACATAAATCACAGAAGTACAGCCGTGTTGGGCAGACTACAACCTCCATATCAATTTCATACTCATTTTAGAGGCAGGCTCAAGTGTCCAGCTATAGCAATTATATCGAGAAAAATGAACTATTTTGCGTAGGTCGCGTTTCGGTTTACAACATAATATTCGAATGCACTTTTAAAAATATGACTAAAATTGTGAAAATAATTGAGATCATTACGTCGATGTGATTTAGTATTGAAATTTGAGTGTCTTATCCGTTTTTGTTTCTCATCCAGAATGTAAATATGTCGTATTAGATGTGCTAAAATGTCGCTACGCTGTGTCTGTATTGATTAAATTTTTCCAACTTATCAAGAATTTGAATTACAACGGGATTCACGACCTTCTCTAATAATGTTTCTGTAGAGTTCTGATTTTCCAGGGAAGAGTAAATTTTTGAGCACCTAATTATGCATTTTTTTTAAATTTTAATTACTTTTCTCAATTATACTGAATTTAACATCGATAATGCTACTAATATTTTTTAAACTGTGGGTATATAAATTGAAAAGAAGGAGCTGAAATATATGACTCAATAGGGGGGGGGGGTCGTATTCATCTTTCTATTGGCTGTGCAGCAATACGTGGATTCATTTATGCGCTGCCTTCGGAAATTGTATTATGGCGCGCAAAATAAGTCAGAACGGAAAAGCACGTCATTTTGTAATGCGACCGATAATGTGCATTTCATCGGTTCACTTGCAATTGCTGCACGGTATTGATTCTATCTACTATGAATTCTTTTCCACAAATATCTATCCTGCTAATGAACATAAATTTCAACTGCAGTCACAGTGTTAATCAGATTCATTAGCAATGCCTGTATTTTATCGGCAGGTCATCATTTGCACGATTTCCATTTTCCCCTCTAGTTGTCATGCTGAACGATAATACTAGTATGGATGTATTATTAATAATACCTTCATGATATTGGTAATCTGCGTTGTCGCAGCTGGTATCCAATAAAGATCATTTATTAATTAATCAAACTGGCTTTGAATGATTATAATCAAAATGATTATCATAATAACTATAATCAAAATGATGATGAAGATAAACTACTTTAAATATCATAATAATCCTATTAATTATTATTATTAAAATGTATTGTCTACTAAAAACGACAGAGTACATAAAAATCAAATTAGATTTGTTAATTTTAAAGTATTATTAAAACACATTTTTAATACACTGATTTCAATGCTCAAGTTGATAATTTTCATGTTAGTTCAATATAAATAGAAGTTAGTTTCAAAATTGATTTAGTTTCAAAATTGATTGTTATGATTTTTTATAATAGTTTAAAAGTTCTATTATATAGTTCAGTAGGTGAAAAAAAATCAAACATGGCGACCAGCTTTTGTTAGTCTTAGTGGATATTCACGATTAAGTGAACGTCATTTACACACCGCACGAGCGCCTGCGCACGCATCACGATCGCCTTTTGTTTTTTAGTCGACCGACTCCTTCAGTCGCTATTTTTTGGAGATATTTTTCGTAGACCAAACTCGGATGTGTTACCAAAGAAACTCCACCTTAGCTTGTTTCAGAACTGGATACTAATCTCTTAACAGACTTTGCCAAACTAGTTCGCCAAACTCTTGACAGATTTTACACGAGATGATTGGCTGGTGATTTGTGAGCCATGTCCGTAGTACATCTGTTCGCATGACCATTGCATAAAATGTTAATAGTATACCTTCAGTTATGGATAATGATGTAGTCGTAGGTAACAAAATTATGAGTGAAGAGATCGTTACTTGAAAATTTATTGTTGTGTTAAGTAAAACAATTAAAATTCAAACATGACGGTTTTCAGTATGTGCTTAGTGAATGATGTTAGTGACCTAAATAATGTTATTATATTGTACGCTTCGGTTTTAACTGAAATCTATATATTAAGTAAAAATAGTTTGAGTATTTTACTATTAAATGTGATTTTATAGGAATTTCAGTCGATTTCAACATTCCATCAACAGTAATAAAATATTATGTTCAACTGCTTATTTACAGACAATACTCCTTCAGTTTAGCAATTCCTCAATATATTGATCTGTTGTTTTGGTGAAGTTAGCTATGATATACTGTTCACGGGCCCGTGTTATCGTCTCGTGGGAGGGTAGACAGATCATGGGAGCCTATGGATGGCACTACCACAAGGCGCAAGTCAATCAAAATAATGTCACGTGGTCTGTTCTGCCGTATATTTCAAATAAAGATGTCGTTTTTGCTTTAGCTCCAGTATGTCTGTTTTATTAAATTAAATGAGATGTGAGTTATGACAGTTACTATATTTAGGCTTCCTTCACATAAAACCCAAACACTAGGGTTGTTTGCGACTGCGTCACTCCTCTAAATTACTACTAGTGTAAACCACTCTTAAGTTGCTTCTTCATATGGTCACGTCATAATCTCGTTTTGCAATAGAAATCACAAAATAGAGATCACAGTGTTAAATGTTTAAGTCACGTAACGGATCTTGTACAACTTGATAGCAGGTATTCCACTTTAGTATCATACACATTATATGTTTTAATGGTTTAAGCATAAAAATTAAAAAAATGTATCGTAAAACAAATTCTGTTTTCAAATTTTCAATATAACTAGGCTAGAGTAAATACCGGTATAGAAAAGAGCATCCTCGCAGAATATTTAGCCTACCTAAACAATCAGTGTAATTTAATTAACGATATTTTAAGGTAAAATAGAATAAATTGATTACTTATAAACTTTTATTCTCACTAGATACTACTATCTGCAAAATTATAGTAAATCATAATAAAAATAATTTTAATAATATATTATTTTTTGTTGAATTATGAAAAAAAAACGACTACAAGTAAATTTCTGTTGTCGAACTTGTAAAGATGTTTTATTGACGAAGCTCGATGACGTTCCATCACGTGATGATGAAAGTCAATCATGCATTTAAGATTGCAATATTTTCACATTATCATCAATGTTTTTGCTAATAAATAATATCACGTGATTCACATTCTGTTCAGCCATCAATTGAAACTATAATTACTTAGTTGATAATGCCATTGCCATACTTAAAACCAAACTGTACATTAACCGAGTCGTAAGCTCGAAGTAACCAAAACCTTAAAACATATACTTTCTTTTTATACAGATGTTTGAAACTATAAAAATAATGATATACATCGAGTAAGTTGCCAACATCAAGAACAAAACAGAAAAACTTTAAATCATTAAAAATAATCAAAGAATATGTCCGCCTGATCAAGGCCTATCTCGAAGAACAAACAAAGCAAGTTCTGTAATTAAAATCCATACAATGATTGTTTGAATAAGTAAAAATAAAATAATATAAAATTATAAAATGAACATTTTATTGGAATCTCTTCCCTTTTCTAAGTTACATGTATTTTTAATATCCTCTTCAATGCAAAGTAAAAAAACATGAATTTACAACAACTAACATACGGTATCCTTTCATATCTTACTAGTACTAGCAATTACCGTTTATCAATATAACATTATTCATTATGATAGGCCTATTAGCATATTTTCTTTGTAATCAGGTTGGAGGACCGTTAGCCGGGGAATAAATGAGAACGTATAATGACCCAGAAACTGTTTTAGTGATGATGATGACCAAGATAATCCACTTCCAATGAACCGCGGTGATATTGTCGATGGCTTTATCCAACCGACGGCGTTAAAATGCAACAGAGGCGGTTTATAGTACTCTGAGTACGTGTGTCGCTTCAATCTGATACACTCATTCTACCATCGGTCTACGGACAGTTTTAAAGCCTTAATAATGCAAAATTGAAACTCCCGATGGACTCGAATGAGTTATTTAAACACGGCGATAAGTAACGTATCCCATAGCATACAAGGTAGAGTTATCCCATGGCTTAACACATAGGCCTACATAAAAACCCAAAAGATTTGAACTAGAGCTCCGGTCAAACGCATGAAAATAGGCCTACACACGAGTATTAATTTATTATGTGGAAATTCATAATCCCTGAACTACATTTTTGATAACCATGGTCTTATTAAAATAATTGATAATGTCACCACACTAATTGGTTTAAATATGACACGTGACTGAATTATAATCGCGGTAGAAGCGCACAATATACTGAGGTAAACATCACAGTCGATTGGTGACGTACATTATTTTTAACATCAAGGATGTTAACAATTTTTAAGATATTATTAACTCTTATATATTGGGCATTGGTACGTTGTCCAATCAGCTCAATGATTCAAGATTCTATTCAGACGACATGCTATAACATGGGATTGACAAATTAACGTTTGGTAGATCTTTCTTATATCTAATCAACACAAATTATTAATGATCCGGTTTGGAATTAAAATCAACGAACATTCAATGTAAGCATTTAAAATATCATTACACCTTCCTCTTGGAGTAAACAGATAAGGTAAATAGTGGCATCTAACACGCCTGTTAGTTGGATAATTGTCCAATCATGGACAACGATGAAAGACAATTATCCAATCAGTATCTACGTTGAAAGACAGTTAACCAATAAGGAAACAACGTTGAAAGACGATTGTCCAAGACATTACTGTTACGATTAATTTAATTAAAAATCAACAGAATGAACTAGTGTTTACTTGCTCCTCTATGACGTCATTGGTATATATGAGTCTTTTACAGCATTAATTGGTCCACTAAATCTGGTTGGTTTAATTTGTTCCATTGAATAGGCCTAACTTTCAAGTTTGTTCCCTTAAAGCATATTCATATTATTTGTCTATTAAAAGTAATCGTTAGCATTAAACCGAATCGTATTTAATATTCAGCCACTTACAGTACTAACACATTACATGGTTTAAATACAATAGGCATACTCTACCTAATATGTTGCTCTCCGCGCATAACCTCAACATTCGTGAATATAGATAGGGGTGGGTAAAGTAGCCTACTCTGTCAGTATTTGATAATTCAGTCATTACTAAAGCTAATCTAATTCACTATGAGTATTCTATAAATGAATAATTATGCAAATTGAATTCATTCGACAATACTCACGTGTCTCTTAATTTGTATCTCCAATTTGTGTCTTGGTTCTTTGAAATTGCGATATTTCATGGAAAAAAATACAATTTGGAAATATAATAATTAAAAACTAACTACCTGAGATATCGACTAGACTAGCCTTGGATATCTCGAGAGAAACTATTTGTTTTTTGAAAATGTGTTTAGTTGATTTACTATGCCGTTATAATCATTAGCAGATGGATTGTAACGAACTGAAAACCCCATAATTAAAGAATGTCCACAAGGGAAATACATGTTTTAATCCAGTCGGTTTGTATTATACAACACGTTCTAAGTCAAGTATGGAATGATCAAATTCCTGTAATTTTACCAGCCTCAATAAAAACAACGATCGATTTGAACCGAGAATTAGATCCTAAAAGTAATTGATCATTTGAAAATTACAAAAAAAAAAAATACATCAATAATGATCAATTTGTAACTACTTATTTTGAAATAAATAATGAACAGTGACAAAATAATATAAGTTTTATCATGTTCTTTGTTAGATGTATTAGTCAGATTTATACATATCTTTACATTATCTAACTTTGTACACGTTTTATCTTTTTTTTTCTTACTAATTTGCCAGATTCCAGATCTTGACCAAATATACGCCTAGGTCCTTAGCGTATAATGTTTAAAAGTTTGACCACATGACCATGAGTAACGTACCGTATGTAGTACATGAAGGCTTGGCCCAAGATGAGGAGTTCTGGTTTCGATACTTCCACAAAACATTTTGTGCACTATTAGCCAATCACAGCCTTCCTAACAAAAGTTCATCTTTAGGTTCTGTGGTGATAATGTCATGCATGGTCAACGCGTGTTTTCCTTATGTTTTCTTTCTTTCTTTCTTTTAATTGTACATAATGATGACCATGCACAATAAGTTCGCTCACCAATCAATCTCTTAAACGCACGTAGGACTAGATCTTTCATGTTGCAGTTACGTCGTTATCTATTAGTGTTACACCATTGGTTGAGGAAAATTTCTTCGTGGATCTAGCCCAGTCATCATTGTTGGATCGTACGTTAACTGAGAATTACTGCGACCCATGTACCCGATGCCATTTGCACAGTAGCGACTATCCCTCATGTACGGAGAGACATCCCTAGAATATGGTGTAGGGCGAGTGTTGGACCGAAAGTAGCAACTCGGACTATAATTGTACTGATTGTCATGAGTGTAACTGGCGAAAGGCGCTTCTGCGCACGATCCATTTGAAATAGGTGCAGTGAGTTCGGAAAAGCTCGGATTAGAATTCAATAAACTGTTGGGTACTAACGAGTCGGATGTCGCTGATTGTGTGTTGGTTGATGGCACTACAATATTTCTATTCTTTTCATCTGTTGAGAAAAAATTGAAACACACATTCGGTTAACTTGCAATGAAGTTCGTTCATAATGTTAAGGCACACGAACAAAG